TCATGACTTCCAGTGTAGTCATGACAGGAGAAACCTCTGACAGGAGAAGACGCACGTGTTTTGGTAAATGGGCTAAGGTATAAATCCAGGTTCTGTTATGGAACGAGCATGTCAATCGGAGGAATTTACTGTCACAGGGGTAGGAAGATGGAATTAGTTTTATGCACATCTATTTGGCGAACACTAGCCAAGTGTGATGAATCCCAAGAAGGGCTACTCTATGCATCTTTACACCCTTTACCGTGTAGGCATCATCAAGTTGTATGTCCCTTTATGCACTCCTCCGTAGAAGGGACCCTCTAGCTGAGCTTTTGTTAAATTAATTTATTATGTTTTATGTGCATGGGTGTTTTACTCAAATGTATGTTTGTATACCATGTGCATGCCTGATGCCTGTGGAGACCCTAAGAGGGCGCCATATGCCCTGGAATTGGACTTGTGGATATTCGCAAACACCCGTGTAGGTGCTGGGAGCTAACCTGGCCTTCTGGCCTTCTACAAGGGCAACAAGTGCTCTTAAATGCTGAGTCATTTCTACACACACATTCAAAAAAAAAAAAAAACATGTGGAGCTATACCCTTATAGCTTGCTTTCTATTGCTATGATAAAACAGCAGCCATACTGATATATGACTGTCAAACCACAACCTTTTCTCTCTTTTTTTTTCCCCCTAAGATCACATAACATCAGTATCACAATGTAAAACACAGTTCAACTTTTTAATTTCCCGGTCTTCAAAATTTTTAAAAAATCTAAAAATTCAATGTCTCTTTAAAAGATCCGAAGTCTCATAGCTGTAGGCTCCTGTAAAACCTAAAATAAATGAAATACTTCTTTTTCTACAAGGTAAGAAACAGAACATAAAAACAACCGCACTAAAGCAAAACCAAAGTACAACAGCAAAAATACCTCAGTGTCGGACACCTGGAACCCATACTGTGGACTGCAGGCTCCAAAGAGCTTGGAGAGTCTCACCCCTGTAGCTCTGCCGTCCACAGCACACACAACTTACCTGACAGCCTTAGTGCAGCTGTACTACACACTCACCTCTGTCCTTGGTCATTATCATCATTATCCCACATTCCTCTCTTCTCCAACACGCCAGGGTCTCCACTGAGCATCCGTTGGCTTTTCCAGCCCAATCCTCCAAAATTCTCCACTTTCCTCTTGCTAAACTATGCTAAAGTATAAAAGCCACAAAGTCTGCTCTATCACAGCAAGTATCAGTTTCTGTCCTAGATTAACCTAGTATCGATTTCTCTCCTGGACTGCTTTCTATCACTGTGATAAACACGCTGAAGAAAAGCAACTTGGAGAAAGGGTTTGTTGGCGTTTGCAGGCTCCAGTCCATCACTGAGGGAAGTCAGGGCAGGATCTTTAGATAAGAACCCGGATGCAGGAACGAAAGCAGAACCATGGGGGAGTGCTGTTTACTGGCTTGCTTACCCAGCACCACCATCTGCCTAAGGATGGTACAGTCCAAAGTGGACTGGGCCCCTCTATATTAATTAACAATCAAGAAAATGTTATATAGACAAGCCCATAGACAATAGGATGGTGGAACTCCCTCAGTTGGGTTTCCCTCTTCCACGGTGACTTTAGTTTGTGCTGACAAAAACTAACCAGCACAACGCAATTCCTCCATAGAGGGGACCCTCAAATTGTACATGTTTCTTTACACAGTTCCCCAATATTATTTATCCACACAAACAAATAGATGGCAACTTGTTTGTTTACTAGTTCCATGGGCATAACTAATCTGGTGCCAAGAGCACTGGCTACTCCTCCAGAGAACCTAGGTTCAATTCCCACCACCCACATTGTGGCTCACAACTGGCTATAACTCCAACTCCAAGGGATCGAGTTCCCTCTTTTGGCCTCCACAGGCACTAGGAATGTACACACAGTACACAGAAATACATGTAAGAAAACACTCATGCATATTAAAAAATTAAAATTTATAAAAACGACAAAAAGGTATTTATTGACAAGGATTATACTTGTCCTCAATAAAGAAGTCCCTATATAATTTATAGCACATATGGCTCTACAAAACATACAGTAAGGAAAACTGTATATTTTAAAAGTTTTTAGTTCCATCTGTCCTAAACCACATTCCTAGGTATGAGTAATGGGGTTGCTTTAACTAGGGATTATATCTCCAGATTAGCAGGGTAGATTGCTGAGCAAGGATGTCACCTTCCTATTCAGTGTTTTTATGTGAAATCACCAGATATCCCGAGTATTGGGTCATTAGTATTTCTCTGTACATGTCATTGCTTGCTTTGCTTACTGATCCAAAGGCTGTGGCTTGCCAGAGGACTAATGCTTTCACCAAACTTGCTTGGTATTTGGAGAAAGTTCCTAACAACACATATCTCTGTATCTGCAGGACCAATGGCTAGAATCTTTACACCTATTACTCCTTCTTTGTCTCTCTACATTGAGATAGATTCTTTCACATGTCCTTGATCTCCTTCTACCCAAATCCCAAAGTAAAATCAAAGAAACATAAACAGAAGTGTGAGTATCTTAAACTAGGAGTTTCATATAGGTAGATTACAATTAACACAACAAATTCCACATGGCAGTAAATAGTCTGTATAAAGAGAAATTAAATCACAATAAAAATTCAGAACTATACTTTGCATGTGGATGTATGAAATTCAACTTGAAGCAACTCTTTATTCCTGATGGAAAGTATTGATCTTTCCCTTGTCATTTGGTCCCACAAAACACTTTGTTAAAGACAGGGAAACAAATAAACACACAGCTGCCTTAGGCGATGAGAACCCAAGACCCTTGTTTAAATGTTCAGACTGAATGCATTGGTACCTCCCAGGGAGTTTTCAGACTTCGGTATTTGTCATGTGATTAACCGAGGTGACTATGGTCCTAGGAACACATTCCAGCATGTGCACAGGCACTTGCCCTAAATGCTATGTTAAAAATACTGCAGCATTCCCTAGTATTGAAGGATAAATTTTCAGTTAGCTGGTGGTGTTAGTACATGAGAGTGTAACTGATATTTACTGGGTTCTTGTTGCCTGTCTATCCGTAAGATTCATATTTATGTTTGCCACTTGCCTGATAGCACAGTTATTTACATTCACATCTTTTCCGTTGTGTACGAAAAATCTGTGTGTCGCTCACCTCGGTGCTCATTACGCTTAGATCTGTGCTTTGAATTCCGTAAGAGCTCACTAAATGCTTTGTAAAGGGTTGGCCGAATTTGTGAAGGGCTGTGTTTGGGGACACGAGTTGCTTGTGACATGACATATCCAACTGTGAATCATATCAAGTATGGATTTTATAAAACGATATTCTGGCAGCTTCTCTGCTTGCAAGTAAATGAAATGTGAGATCCAGGGGGAAATTCAGCTGGCATGAGCATTTTAACAGGTTTCCACAGGTGATGGTGAGTGGTGTGCCACGTGTCAACAAATCCCTAAGGCTGGAAAGGCCCAAGGATGACGTGTTCAACCTCTTGATTCTAGGTGTGATCCCAGTGAAAAGTTCTAGCTGCTCAGGGTCACTGTTAGTGTTCTGACTCCTAGTTCAGTGCATCTACCAAGGTAGCATCCTGCTTCTACATGCTGCCAAAATGGCCTAAATGATGCACAGTTGTTCGTGCATTGTAAAGTAATCATAAGCAATATGTCTCAGTTACCCTGCAGTGGGGAACTGTATAAATGGTTAAATGTATAAATTTCAGGCCATTGTCTGGGAAAACATAATTATGTCTTTGGCGATTTTAGGGCTTTAGAGAAAGTCTGTGACAAGTGATGAGTGGTGGAAGATGTCTTGTGAGCTTTCCAGGAACTGGAAACAAGCAGCCATGTTATTCCTTCTTTTAACACTAAATCTGATTGACATTACTTATAAATTGATAGGATACTTACACTGGTAAAGCCAAAACTTCCTATTTCACACAGTCCCTGTTCCTCCAAAGAAATTCCTGTTTTTGCTGTCATTAATGTTTTCACTACTGATTATGCTTTTATATAATTAATTATCACCGTGTGAAATTTAAAAAACCGAAGGGAGCATAATTCACTCTTTCAGTTTCCACACTTAAGAAAAGCAGAGGTCATTAGACCGGTTATTATTAAGAAACCTAAGAACATGTCAGTAAATAGGTTAATGAGAGGGAATTCATTGGACAATCTATCTCTCAGATTTGTTCAACGGAGGGATACATCCTTGTATATTTGTACTTAAATGCACTGAAATGAAAAGACAAAGTATTGGTAGGAAATTGTCAGGAATACGCATTGAACAGAATTAAAGGCAGCTCATCCCAATCAGTCATGGCCCAGATTCGGCAAGCTGCAAGCTCCAGTGTACCTCAGTAGACTCTTCATGGTCCTGGGCTTCATGCTTGTTCCAGCAGTATGAGATATGTGTGCCAAGAGGGAGCATGAGACAGGAGGTGGCATTCCCTTGCTTAACCCAAGCACATTAGGAACCCCGGACAGGACAAAAATGCTACTGTGCATCACCCAAGAGTCAGTGAGCGGTGAAACAAGCTATTGTGCTTTGCAGAACAGGTTGCTGCTGGAACTGGTGCCAGCAGTTTCCACACACACTAGCAGCTGGTTGGTAGGCGTGATCTCTAATACCAAAAGCCCACAGCTCCCTCCGTGGGAATCTTACCAACAAAACAAGTGCAAGTGTTGAATTGATCAGAGAAAAGAACATTGTTATTTCTTAGTCCTTGAAAGTGTCCCATAACCTTCAGCACAAACAAAAATATCTTTCATTTGAAAGGGAGAAAATCCGTGTGTCTTCCCACTTTTCCAGACTCTTTAAAAAAAAATTCTCCTATACATATCTTTTAACTCTGACCACAATTTGCTATTTTGTGACTTCATGAACTAATGATAGCTTCAAAATTGAATGCTTTTGTGAAAATCTGAGCTCATGAATCATCTTCCTTGGGTTTTCTTTTTTTTTTCTTTTTCTTTTTTTTTTTTTTTGAGCCAAATTTTTTATTTATTCATTTCTTGCACTTGAAGCACTCCTCTATGACATCCTTGGCCTGAGATTCTTTGCCGTAGTCCTTACCCACTACACAACGGCAACCAGCCACTTTCCGTGCCTTCGCCTCTCCATTGATTTTACAGAGGCCGACCCACTGCCCTGGTTTCTTGTTGTCATCAACCTTAATCAGATTGATCTGGTGCTCAGCACAGAGTGCCTCCACCAGCTTGACGTAGGTACATGGGCACATCCCAGTTGGCTGCAAGAACAAAGATGGGCCTGGTGCTTGTCTAAGGCTTTGGCAGCTTCGCCTATGCCATGTGTTAGGGCATCATGGATGAGGGTCTTCAGCTGCTCTGGCAGAGCAATATTGACATCCATTACATCCCCAGCGGAAGCCTTCCTCAGCCGTGGTGGTGGATGACGTGTGAGGCCGAATGAATGAATCCGAGCCTCTGCCTCTGTACAATTCGGAGGTGACAGGAAAATCGAATCACCTTTCTATAAAGTTCCCTCACACTCTAGTTTTATTTATTCTTCTCTTCCATGAGCTTATGAAATCATGACATAAACACAACTGTCCCACCAGGCTATAACTAATTTTCTTTGCCTTCTCATAGTTTGTGAGCATCTTGATTTAAAAGAAAATGCTTTGTTCTGTTTTATATTCACAAAACATCATAAAACTTTTGGCACATGGTAGGGCCTCAGTGAATGATAATTAATTATTTTCTTCTGCCATCAAATGTACCATTCTAAGTTAAAATCTATCTTAAAGACTTAGCCATAGAATTTGCATGAACTCAAGAAGGTGTACATAATTGAAATTTATTCTATCCCAACAAAGTATCTAAGGGGACGTTTTGGGAAAATCTTCAAATTTATGAAAAGATGCTAAATTCAACTCCATATAATAAAACACAAAATTAAATTATTTAAAATACTATTTCTTCTCTCTACAGATTAAAAAAAGAAAGGAATAGCAAACAATTCTGTTAACAAGGCTTAGAAAGGTGCCCACATGTGTCCCAGTAAGTGTGAAAGCTGGCCTACAATGTCACCCAGTGGCTATGTGGGCTGGCCCACATGTGTCTCAGTAGCTGGGGAACATGGTGAAAGATACAGACACAGCTAACACTATACGCAAAACCTGTGGTGCAGCAGTTTGGCTTTTAGAGGTCATATTTCATAGAAATATTACAGGGTCTACTTTTCACACATCACTGGGATATATAATTATCAATGTTATGTCATGAAACCACTTGAATATCCATCTGTAAGAGACTAATTAAATTTTCTTTGTCACAGCTACATAACAGTACTCTGAACTTAAAAATAAAGATTATCTTCAATTCTATACACAGAGAGAAAGGATAGAAAGAAAGAGTTCTCAATGTACCCTGATTTCGACAGTATGTTGAGAAAGGTAAACACAAGTTCCGTAAATGTTGGTCAGGTTGGATCAAAGGAAATACAAAAAGGGGGCATCAAAGAAAAAATGCAGAGTTACCTGCAGAAGCTGAAGGGGATGTAGACAGGAGAAGTGTTTCAGTGAACACAGCTTTGATTTTGAAATATGCAATATTTTATTTGCTGAAATGTAAATGAAAAGATGTGAGGAGAAAGCAATGAGTAAGTAACCTGCTGGGCACATGATTTCTCCTCATATACTATAGAGAATAGCTTCAATGATTCTGAGCACATAGCTCGGCCTGCATATACTTAGTAAGATTAAAAAATAAGAATCCGAACAGAAAAAAAATTTTTTAAGTATGTCAGGGTTAGCATTTATTTTCTAAGCTTATTTCTTTTTTTTAATTTTTTATTAATTACACTTTATTCATTTTGTATTCCCCCATAAGCCCCTCCCTCCTCCCCTCCCGATCCCACCCTACCTCCCTTTTCTTCATGTATGCTCCTCCCCACATCCACTGATAGGGGAGGTCCTCCTCTCCTTCCTTCTGATCTTAGTCTATCAGATCACATCAGGAATGGCTGCATTGTCTTCTGTGGCCTGGTAAGGCTGCTCCCCCCTCAGGGGGAGGTGATCAACGAGCAGGCCAATCAGTTTATGTCAGAGGCAGTCCCTCTTCCCATCACTATGTAAGCCACTTGGACACTAAACTGCCATGGGCTACATCAGTGCAGGGGTTCTAGGTTATCTCCATGAATAGTCCTTGGTTGGAGTATGAGTCTCTGGGAAGTTCCCTGTGTTCAAATCTTCTTGTTCTGTTGCTCTCCTTGTGGAGTTCCCATCCCCTCCAGCTCTATTTCCCACTTCTTACATAAAATTCCATTCACTCTGCCCATCAGTTGGCCATCAGGCTCAGCATCTGCTTTGACAGTCTATACTGCAGAGGCTTTCAGATGCCCTCTGTGGCAGGTTTCAAGGTTGTTTCCTGTTTTCTTCTGGCTTTCAGACGCCCTCTGTAGCAGGTTCTGAGGTTGTTTCCTATTTTCTTTTTCTTCTGATGTCCATCCTCTTTGCCTTTCAGGATGGGGATTGAATATTTTAGTTAGGGTCCTCTCTTTTGCTTAGTTTGTTTAGATGTACAGATTTTAGTGGGTTTATTCTATGTTGTATGTTTATATGAGTGAATATATACCATGCGTGTCTTCTGCTTCTGGGACAACTCACTCAGGATGATCCTTTCCAGGTCCCACTATTTACCTGCAAATTTCATGATTTCCTTATTTTTCATTGCTGAGTAATACTCCATTGTATAGATGTACCACAATTTCTGCATCCATTCTTCAGTTGAGGGGCATCTGGGTTGTTTCCAGCTTCTGGTTATTACAAATAAAGCTGCTACAAACATCGTTGAGCAAATGTCCTTTTTGTGCACTTGAGCCTGTTTTGGATATATGCCTAGGAGTGGTATGGCTGAATCTTGGGGAAGTGCTATTCCTAGTTGTCTGAGAAAGCGCCAGATTGATTTCCAGAGTGGTTGTACAAGTTTACATTCCCACCAGCAGTGGAGAAGGGTTCCCCTTTCTCCACAACCTCTCCAGCATGTGTTGTCCCTTGAGATTTTCATCTTGGCCATTCTGATGGGTGTAAGGTGAAATCTCAGGGTTGTTTTGATTTGCATTTCCCTAATGGCTAATGAGGTTGAGCATTTCTTTAAGTGCTTCTCTGCCATTCGATATTCCTCTACAGAGAATTCTCTGTTTCGCTCTGTTCCCCATTTTTTAATTGGATTACTTGGTTTGCTGCTTTTCAGCTTCTTTAGTTCTTTATATATACTGGATATGAGTCCTCTGTCAGATAAAGGGTTGGTGATGATTCTTTCCCAATCTGTAGGCAGTCGCTTTGTTTTGATGACGGTGTCCTTTGCTTTACAGAAGCTTTTCAATTTCCTGAGGTCCCATTTATTGATTTTTGCTCTTAGAGCCTGTGCTGTTGGTGTTCTGTTCAGGAAGTTTTCTCCTGTACCAATGAGTTCTAGGGTATTCCCCACTTTTTTTTCTAGCCGATTTAATGTGTCTGGTTTTATGTTGAGGTCTTTGATCCACTTGGACTTCAGTTTTGTGCAGGGTGATAATATCTGGCCTGGTGTGGTAGTTCAGTCATTAAAGTGTTTGCCTTGGAAGCATGAAGATTTGAGTTCATATCTCCAGAACTTTATAAAACTCAAAATACAGGGCTATGTGCTTTTCACCCTAACACTTGAGGAACATAAATAGGAGGCTCCCTGGATATCAGTGACTGTGCTGTTTTATGTCAACTTGACACAGCAGGAGAGAAGGGAATCTCAACTGAGAAAATGCTTCCTTAAGATTGGATTATAGTGGGCTGGAGAGATGGTTCAAAGGTTTAGAGCACTGTCTCCTCTTCCAAAGGTCCTGAGTTCAATTCCCAGCAACCACATGGTGGCTCACAACCATCTGTAATGAGATCTGGTGCCCTCTTCTGGTGTGTACGTATACATGCAGGCAGAATGCTGTATAAATAATAAAAAAATTTAAAAAAGATCGGACTGTAGGCAAGCCTGTAGGGTCTTTTCTTAATTAGTGATTGGTGGAGGAGGACCAATTGTTGGATAGTGCCATCCCTGGGCTGGTGATACTGGGCTCTATAAAAAAGCAGACTGAACAAGGTAGTAGGAGAAAATCCATCAGCAGCACCCCTCCAGGGCATCAGCATCAGCTCCTGCCTCCAGCTTCCTGTGATGTTTGAGTCCCTGTCTTAGCTTCCTTTCATGATGAACAGTGATGGAAGTGTAAGCCAAATAAACCCTTTCCTTTATTGCCTTTATTTCAGCTTACATTTTGGTCATGGTGTTTCATCACAGCAATAGAAACCCTAGCTAAGGCTAGCAGTCAGTGAGCTGTAGTTTCAGCAAGAGACCTATCTCTAAACAGCCAAAATGGAGAGTAATTGGGAAAGACATCATATAAATCTCTGACCTCCACATATATGCACATTTACAGATGCATACACATAAACCAGAACAAATGAAAAACAGAGGGAAAGAGAGAGATAGTCACACAAAAGTTTTAAGGTCTTTCAAATATCTAGCCCGGCTGATACTCAAAATACAAGGAGCTGTTTTTACCACACCCACACACACACAAAAAGTTTATCTTAATACATGGTAATAATGTGCTTGAAGAAACAAGAAAGCAGGGACAAATCAAAAGATCAGAGTAAATTTCCAGAACACACCCTTAAAATGTCTGCAGAATAATTTGCTGCAGAAAATGCACAGTAACTATCATAGAGATGTCGGCCACTTGATAGCAAATGGCCTTAAGCAGTATCAAAGTTTCAAAAAGTTGAAAAGTATCTTTAAAAAGAATCAAATAAAAATACTGGAGCTAAAGAATGCAAAAGCTAGACTGAATAAGTCCTTACAAGAGTTTAACAGCCGACACGATCAAGCGGGTAAAAGGTAATTACCTCTCACCACGGAGACACACTCCGCAACTCCTTTGCTGGCCTGAAACTGGAGTGTGCATGTTGCCTGTAAATACTGTGCTTTTCCTATTCATAACACACAAACCCAATGCCTTTTACTTCTTTGTTAATAATCCATCCTGCACAGAACTTGTAAATTTTCAAGTTCTATGTACAATGCCAAAAATACCGTGAACTTCTTTTTCCTTCCTCGGAATTTCATGGATATAAGATTGGAGCTTACACATCTTAATAATTTCTACACACGATTTTTGTCTTTTCTTTTAATTGAGAGTTTTCTCTTTTCCCTGAAAGGAAGTGTGTGTGGCCTCTCTTTACAATAACAAGATTGCTGGCTTCGCTACCTAGTACTTTGAGTCCATTGTTAGGTAAAATGAAGGTTATCAAACACAGCTCTTAAAACACAATGAATGCTGAGATAGATTATCAGCTGCTCGTGTGGCAGATGGATAGATAACATAGATGGATA